TTTTACTCACTTTTACATAGAACACTGGTACCTCATGTAGCTTCTCACAATTTTCACATACAGTCTCTTTGGATACTTGTGTGATTATGTTTATTTTAATAGGAAAAAGAGGGCCTTGGTTGGGTATTGTAATTCTATAAGCTCTTTTGATCTTTGTATTGTTCCCCAGAGTTCATCAATACTACATTTAGAGCTGCTTCTGATTCTAGAGTGATATTGCCAAAAGGCCATTTCAGAATTACCTTTGGCGTCTTTTACAAAGCCAGTCCTAGTGCTCATCCTTTAATGTGATTTTAAATTTTCTTTCATGTGCAAATTTAACTCATTTTCATACAAATTGTGGATCACCAAGCCTCGTTTTGAAACAGAGGCCAAAGCTAATTTTGAAAATGGCCTATTTCTCAATCTTATGACAACAACCTATAGGAAAGAAGAGTTTGTTTTCCCCTTTAAGATAGTGCAGTTATCAACAGTATCCTAGGTGACTGCAGGTATTAACATGCGTCTTTTCTTCTTCTTCTTTTTTCTAGATTCGCACTGGAATAACTTCCAAGCATTTGTGGCCTTTGGAAGACTTGTTTTACAAATATGGTATAAAGAAAATGATTTTTGGAAACAAGTTTGACCTTTGATTTGAACTCACTTTGTAGTTATTTTTTGTGTCAAATTATGGTCATGCAGAGAGGAACTAGAATTGCACTTGGAATAAATTGTGCTAAATGGTGTTCAAAGCATGTAATTTATTCAAATTTGCAAATTTTCCATCTCCATTATAGGTGTGGATTTGATGTTGGAAGCTCATGAGCACTCGTATGAACGATTGTGGCCCATTTACAACATGCAGGTTAGTTTGGCAATGGTAGCCTGTTCCAGTTGTTTTATAAGAAACAGTGTGATGATAATGGTGAAGTGAAGACACAAGGGAGGGGTGGGTCTTGCCCTGACCAGGACAAAATCTCCTTTGTGTTTTTACTCTTTTGCCACTATTACTCCATCTATGATCACCTTGTTTTAGCAACTAAACAGCCAGAACAAGCCATGGGATTCATTGCACAAGTTTCAAGAGTATGCATGGTGTGATCTGATCTTTGTGTCTATGTACAGGAGAATCTTCATACTTTCCTATGCAGCATTCTTTTTCTATTGCTAATTTCAAGGTATCTCTATCTTTGGGTAACTAAAATGTGCACCATGCAGGTGATGGTCCTGTTCAACAAAAGAATATGTAGGGTCACTGTTCTCTCAACCTTTGGAGACCCAAGGGCAAATAATCTGGCGAGAGGAAAGCCCAGCAGTGGTTTCTGTCTGTTGAGATTTACCATTTGCATCCTTCTATAACAGTACCATTGCTGTAGTTTCCTTTCCCCTGATTATTTGTTCCTGAGTCTCCAAGGAGGCTGTTTTCAGGAGTTTGCTTTCATTGCTACTTATAGAAGGCAGGAGTTTCAATATTTTTTTCCACATGTGGCTACCAATAGTGTAATAGGTGGCTGTTCCCGGAAGGGGTTTCAAGGCAAAATGCATACAGAGAACTTGCTACGAGGCTAAACAGACAGTGGTAAGAGGTCTTATAAATCGCAGTAGACCATCCCTAACCTGCTTTTATTGAAACCCCTGAGGAGGTAACATCATCAGTGCTTCTAAGCTTTTTGGGGTTTAAGTCTTAAATTTCTTTAAATAAACTCTAAGGTAAGTTCTTATTGTTAACACTCTTACTTTATGTTTCTCTTTCCAGGTTTGCAATGGATCTCTTGAGGAACCATACACCAACCCTTGCGCCCCAGTTCATATCATCACTGGTTCAGCGGTATGTCAGCCATCAGCACTAGTATTCTGTTTTGAATAATTATGTAAATTACAACTGCTTATCATAATATTATGATAGACAAACATGGCAAGATCAGGGTCTCTCAAGGATTATTGGAATGCAAATACCTGACCCATTACCTTTGGAGAATGTTCAAACCCCTTCACCTCTAAATGTCAGCCTGCTCATTCTCCTTATAGCTCTCTATACATTTCCTTTGGAAATAGTAAGAAGAGTTTGTTTAACAGTCAAAAGATTCTTTAAGTGGCAATCATTTTTCTTACACACATGGCCATAGTGTGAGATGCAGCGGTAGTACTGTAAGGAAAAATAAGACTTTTTTGTTAGTCGAGTACGTTTTAAGGGTTGAGGGGACAGTCAAAGGCCCCCTGTCCCTGAGGTCCTTGTTCCTTGCGTCCATAGAGTGACAACCAGCTTGTCTCCCAATGGGTCGATCATTGTCATGTTTCACTCTCTTTTCCCCACTGATTTGCAATTGAATGGTATTTCTTACAGGGATGTGTTTCCAAGCATGACCCGTTCAAGAAGGACAAGCCTTTTTGGACAGCTTTCCGTACTCTGAATTATGGTTACACCCAGATGACGATCCATAATAAAACTCACATAGGCATACAGCAAGTGGATGTTGACCTAGTAAGTATAGATAGGAGAAACCTAAGGGCACATTAACTATGGGCTTGCAAAGTTCAGAGACTTAGAGGCAATGACAACACTGAGTTTCGAAGTGGTAAAAACTGTTGTGGAACGTACTGAAGAGGAACTTATCAACAAAAGAATGTGTGGTCAGCAGTTTTAGTCCAGAAGGAATTTGGTTTACATCAAGAGTTGAAGGGTGGATGAGGATGGTGAAAATTTTGCTGAATAACTGGACACATCCTGATAGGAATTTATGATATCAGAATTTACCTCATTTAAAAGATTTTTTAGTTGTAACAGCAAGTTTGGAGGGATAAAATTTGGTCAGTGAATATGGGGTCTTGTGATTTGATGGTCAGGTGACATCCACTTATATTTTCTTGTTTTCTCTGCACCCTTTTGTTTCATTTTGGGATTTATTTTCTGGTAACCAGAGGCAGTTGTTTTTGAAAAAGGCTTAAATATTTACTGTCTTGTGGCAAAAGGTAAACTGATTTCTGTGTTGTCCTTATTTTAATCAGGGTGGAGAAGTTGTGGACAAAATAATGCTGATAAAGGATGTCCATGGACCAGAAGCATGGGTTAGAAAGAGCACAATGAATTGACCCCTCATTGCCATCAGAGTAGATAAGAAGCTTGAGAAAATAGCTTGAGCAACTTACAAGGAACTACTCTTCTTACAGAATACTCAATTCCACCAACGGCTACCAATCTCTATCCTTGCAACTAAATGTTGTGCCTTAATTGCAGTCAAACTGTATCTGATTATGATTTTGGGATTGCGTTTCTAGAGAAACTGAGTTGATTATGCAAACTGGATGCAGTAAAGAGTTTGTAAAGCTATATGTGCCCATGTTATACCCTCTTTGATGTAAGCATCTACTCTTTATTGATTTGTGAATCTATTAAATTATTAGGTAAAACTGAGTTGAGATTGACTTTATTTCATCTTATTTCAGCAATTAGTACACTACAGTGAAATATATGAAATTACCATGTGCAAGATTTTTGACAAATTTACTACTTTTTTTTTTGTCTGGATTGAAGATGTTGGTAGCTATAGAACCAGTTCCGGCAAGGTTCTCTTATTAGTCAGCGTGTTAGAATTAGGAGACGGGAGGGGATTTTGAGTTCATTTTTACTATTAAGTAGAAGTTGCAATTAATCAACTGTGAAGAGGTGTAGAAAAACACCATTTATATATCGTGTATTCATGCATAGTGTCTTATGGGTACTATGATGAACATTGAAAAAGGACTCTGACAACGTAATTATCTTCGTTCAAATTCAAAATAGCTGGTTTTTAAAAATGCTATTAAAAAGTTAGACTTGTCAGGTTTGATATGATCGTAAATCTATATCTTGAAATTATTAATTAGTCTTAGCTTAATTTTATTTTATGAATGAGTTATATCTAGTCCTGTAAATAGGTTTCAATTTTAAATTTGAAACCTATAATTATCATTTTAGTTACTTTTTGAAGGTATTTTTTCTCAATTTTATGTTTTATTTTTTACAATTTTCTAACTGGTGAGTTTTTTTCTCACTAAAGCTAAGCGTATATATACAATAAAATTGACTCGAACTTGACTTGACTTAGAGTTCTGTTTTGTTTCATTATCGAGTTTACCCCCAGTTTCGTATGATATTAGTCACAGTTTGAATCGCTTACGTAGCTAGTCGTTCCTGGTTGAAGGGGTTTATAATTTATTATACCCTTATTAGAGGACGCCCCCTTATTACTTCGGAGTTGAAGATAGGAGAGATCGAAGGAGTCACACCGGAGTGCTTTACTAAAGTTTTGTCTGTTTGAGTTACGCAACGTTGGAGTTTCTTTACGCTTTTAAGACAGGATCAGATGGAAGTTGCAGTCTATGGTACTCCGTTTCGTTTTCCTTTCGATTCCTTTTCTTTGTAATTAATCTTAGCACCTTTCCTTATTTTGTACATTGTAATTTTCCCCTCCTAGTTTTCACCAGACGAGTACAATATTCAAACTAGTCATGATCGGATTAAATGCTGTTAAATCAACTTGTACTGTCTATTTGTGCACTGTATTGGCACTTCCCGAACTCCAGTGTACTTCGCTGATCCGCGTCTGCTGCACTGGATACGCGACAGGTACCCTTTAAACCCCAGCTCTATGGCGAATATGAGGAGTCTGTTCATTTTGTTGAAGAAAAGAGAATTCTTTTCGTAGTCACATCCCAAATTTAACAATCCTTTTGATAATGTACAGACCTAGTGACGAGAAAACCAATCAACCCTGAACTTTCTGGTAAAAATAGAGGAATCATATTAAAAAACGAGACTAAAACAAATTATTAGTTTTAATCAGAAGGCAACATGGTCGAGTGGTCAACGTGTCGGACTTGCGATCAGCCGCTCCCGGGTTCAAGTCCCGCCCTGACCACTGCCCGGATTTGTTTCACGGTTTCATGGGATTCTTAATAATGTTATTTTCAATTTGTATTATTTGTTTCAGTTGTTTGGTGGAAAACCTGTAAACTAGCTTCTAGCTAAGTGTTTCTCCACGTTAAACTGTCTACTTACTTTTTTATATAATGAATAACTGAAAAATGTATTATTTTGTACTTTGAATGAAGAAAATTTTTTCTCATTCATTTTACTTGTGAATACGTTTTGAGTTCTTCCCTTCACTTAATTCGGAAGCTAGAATGAGCACTGGTAAGGTTTGCAACCTGCCTTCTTAAACTTAACTTCAGTTCTTGTTTGAATGCTGGTTTGTTTGAAGAAATACCTTACATATTTTTCAGATCTACCTCAAATTATTTCTGTACCACATATACAATTTCATATTTTGAAGTTTTATAGAAAGATGAATCCGCGAATCTTATGCGCTGATGGCAGTATTTGGTAATAATAATAACTTGTGGGCATCAATCTCGTTTCTGGGTTACAGGATTTAAAGGCTAAAAGTAAGGGTTTTCCGGAAGATTGAACGGTTTCTATGGCGAACGTGTTTGTGAAAAATTCAATTACAATAATTTGGTGAGAAACAATTGGGCAGTAAGTCAATAGCATTTCCAGGGAAATAGACGAGAAAGTATGGTAGGTTCGATCTATTAAAAAAAAAAATTGTGTCAGAGGATAACCAGCATTACGAGCCATACTATTACACAGATCAAAGATCTCCTCGGCCCATCATGGAAAAAAAAAAGGTTTGCAAACACACAACTTTAAGAGAGGCTCTCATAGGACAATAACAAAGATCGAAGCTGCGCGAAACAACATGCCCCTTGAGCGACCTGGTAAGGTGTTCCTTCTGACCCCAGTATTAGCAAAGATGTCAGTGTGGTCTATTCTCGCATGGATGAAGTAAGACTTGACACAGTAGGCTGCATGGTCAAATGGAGAGAGCACTGGACCCTCAAAACGTAGGTCCGCTCTGTTTACCCCATGGATTTGTTTTTGGGTAGTCCATAGTTTTGTTTTAGTATTTTATTTTTCCTCCACTCCAGCGGTAAATTCACATATTAATTTAAAACAATTATAGTTCATAGTTTTTCTTTTAGCAAAAACCTTGGTCTTCTTTCCAATTGGTCAGAGAGGAGAGAGGAAGGACAAGACTTAAAATAAGTATATAAAATGTAGTGTCGAATCTATATGATAATGCCAGTAGCTTTTCACTCAAAGGTTCACCGTCTAAACACTGACAAAACGTCTCCAAGAATTTTAGCTGAAGAAACGCTGGTGCATCATTTCCATTGATTTATCACCGGTAATATCCACCAACTTGTTTGCCGCAGCAGACACATAATTCTTGTTAGTTTGATACCTAAAATGTGGCCTTTCCGCGTCGAGTGCTTCTAGGATCACCTGGGCAATTTCATCCGGAGTTTGAACCATGGTAGAGAAAGAACCTCGCATCTTTTTAACGCAGTTATCAAGAAGATGTTTTGTTTCATCATCTACTTCGTCAAGGAGAGCGTCACTTTCGGATATCATTTTAGTATTGGCGAAAAAAGATGTTGAAACTGGCCCTGGTTCAATCACAGAGCATCTGTCGTTACAATGAAAAAACAATGCGAAAATTTGATAACGTAAAGCACTGAAATGGTAAGGTAGGAGGGGGGAGGGGAGGGGAGGGGAGGGGGCTGGGACAGGAAGCATACGAGATGGATGTCAGCGGAAACATCGCTATTGAGAAGGATCCTATTTTTCCTCTCCACGCAATCTTCGCTTCAGTCATAAATCGAAGGGGGAAAACTCGATCTCATCATAGTGTATTTGCACGAACAGTACATCCCTTTATTTGTTATCAGTTTCCACTAAAACAGAGAATAGCATTCAAAGCCCGCTCTGGTTGGCAACTCAAACTCCGAACATCCTTTGCTTTTTACCTCTGAGCTTCCTCTTAGCAACGCTCGCAGGATTTACGAACGAAAATATTTAAATCATAGCAGGAGAAAATGAGTTAAAATCATGTTTTTGTGCTATATTACCTCACTGTTTTAGTATATAATTAAAACAACTATGCACCTTAGTGGCTAGCGAAGGATATACGTTTACCTCACCGATTCGCAACTCGGTAAATAGCCACCTCCACTTTGCTGAATAGTTGTTCAAATATAAACACTTTCTTTAAAGTGTTGTCACACTTGCCTACGTACCTCACATTAAAGGTCTTGAGCAACGGAGCCAAAGATTCACACAGACCCTCTACAGCGAACTTCGACGCACAATAAATGCCATTGAAGGGCACTCCATTGATACCGCCCATACTGGATACGCAGATAATGTGACCCTCCTTGTTGGACTTCATATATGGAAGTACAGCCCTGGTGAGACGTAATACTCCGAAAAAATTGGTCTCGAATATGTTCCTTGCTGAATCCATACTTTGTACCTCCAGTGGACCAAAATAGCCTATTCCAGCATTGTTTACTGCAAGGGTATAGAAGTAAATTTATTTGCAATGGTAATGATTTTAATTTAATACAATATCTTGTACATAATTCACCAGTTAGGTTCAGTTGCAGAAGTCGACCCCTTGGTAAGGAAAACAACACAAGGCTACTTCTCACTGACAGATTGGAGTCGAAGTCGAAATCAGAAGAGTGGAGAATACTCCAAAGATCACTTCAAAATTAGACCGATACGGAAGCAAGGAACGAAAGCCACGTTTGCATAGGTGAACAACATTATTTATTGCGGGGGTGGGGGATTTTGGTTGTACCCTAGTAAAATTAATGTCATACCCTCCTAAAGCTCTGCAATATCCTTTTGATCCCCTCTCTATGGTTCCCCCCTTTATACTCCCTTCCCCCTTCATTCCCTCTTTAAACCATGTGATCCCCCCAAAAATCCTCCAGCCCTGCAAGCGATATGTAGTTACCAGTCCCTAGGCTGCCGCTGATAGTGTAGCACTGATGGCTGTGTCCGGAATAGGGGTCGTAAGGCAAACCCAAACAGAGGAGCCTGCTCCCATCCAAAACAGACAGGCGGTAAGAGATCTTATAAGCTTTTAACTGGCTTTTATTGAAACTGTGAAATGTTCAGCAAGCAACCGTGGACGATAATCCTACTCTTGTACGTTGGATCAGCAGTGATCTAATCGGCCCAAAATAACGAATATAAATATAGAGGCAAGACCGATACAACGTAGATAAGTTTTAAAACGGAGCACTATATTTCGGCTGGCCAAACCAACCTTCTTCAGGTGCAGTGGGAATTGACATAGAATTAAGGTGGCACTTAGATACCTGTATGATGTAAAAGTGGAAATACGTAAAACTAATTTGATTGACAATGAGATAATAATTAAAAATAGAAATAGTAAATAAAAATAGAAGTAAAAGTGGGGTAACTTGAATAAATTAAATAACTAGAAGTAAGAATAGTAGAAAGAAAAAGACTAATACATTTCTTCACGAGCGCTAAGGTCATCGGGATAAATAGTATTGCCTCTTGAAATTAAAAAGGCTTCCCTGGCCTTGCGGATCGAGTCTCGCTTGGAAAACACTTTTTCGATGGCGATAGGCTCCATGTCGTAAGCAGAGTGGTTGGGAGAGGAAAGAAAGTGTTCTGCGACTGTAGTAGGTTTAGATTTAGAGTTAAGTTTATCGATGGTACGGCGGTGTTCATAAGTACAGTCTTTTAAACGTCGTGTAGTTTCTCCTATGTATTGTAAGTTACAGCGGTTACATTGAATCAATTAGAGAAGGTTTTTAGTGTCACAAGTCAAGAGAATAAGTACTTGTTAGTAAGTAAGTTAATAAGTTAATAAGTTAATAAGTAAGTTAGTAAGTTAATAAGTACAAGTTAATAGTACTTGTTTCACCGGTAGAAAAAAAGGTATAGTTAGTAAGTCGGTCAGATATGTAGGAACAAGTAGCGCAGTTACTACCACAATGGAAAGAGCGGGGAGGGGGGGGGAGTTGAGTATGGGAAGTGGTAGAATTGGAGGGGAGTTTGGCTGTAACTAATGTGTCGCGAAGGTTGGGGGAGCGTCTGAAGGCAATAACTGGTCTTGCCTCTATATTTTTATTGAAACACCTGCCTATTTATAGTCTGGACCAAATAGTTATAGTCTAGAATAGTCTGGATTGAAAAACCTTAATGCTCTACCGTGACGCTAATTTCTAATTCCTATGTTGACAAGAAATACATTTCTGAATAGTTTGACGACAAAGCTATTTAAAACGGCGGCGCGCGTCACGGTAAGGATAAGGATTTCATAAGGTTTTCATAAGGATTTCATAAGGATTTCGGTAAGGTAAGGATTTCATAAGGATCGGAGTGGCGCAACATCGGAAGCTAGAAATAACGTTAGAGAAGTCGGCTTAGTATAAACTTTCTATTGGTGGTTACAAAAGATATGCGATTTTCCGAGTGACTTATATATCGTGTGAAGCAACATTCTCTCTAAGAAGGGGGGAAGGGGTTATTGCGAGATGCGGGATGGAGAGGTTTTAATTTTCAAGACCAGAGAAAATACGAAATTAAAACCCCGTGAATTTTTTTTGGTGCTTTTCGCGATGCGTGAACGTTAAAGTTGTTTATCCGATGCGTTATTTCTACTTTTTCTTTTATGTTCGTAAACTGTGCACTGTACCCCTCCTCTCCCTCCCATCTCTTCTTGCGAGTGGCCCTCGCAAGCGTAATTATATATTCTCCTCTTACGCCTCCGATTTTCGATATTTACTGTGTCGTTAAAGACGAGAGCTCGTTGCTAGTGAAAAGATCGAATTTCCATACCTTGCCGCGAGTGAATTACATTTTGTTTATTCAAAGCAGTTGATCAAAGGTGTAGCCGGAGCCATTTTGCAGAACATTCAAACTCCCTACTTTCCCGCAAGAAAATAAAGGAAAACTTACTGACGACATCAATTCGCTGATGTGCAGATATAACCTCTTGAACAACCGCGTTAACAGAATCATCCGAACACACATCCATGGCCTTTATGAAAAGTGTGTCTCCGAGGACATACTTTCCTCGTTCCTCAAGCTCTTTCTTCTTCTCAAGATTTCGCATCGTTGCATAAACTTTGAAACGCTTATGTTGATCACTGGCCAGTAAAATAGCCGCAGACAATCCTATTCCCGATGAACAACCGCTAACGAGTACTATTTTTCCGGCCATATTACAAGAAAGTGACTTCTCAAAGTACTATGTCGTTGCGTGACTGCAACTCAGATATCCGACGGCCGTTAAAAACCCTCGTTTGGATGCAACTCGTTATAAGCTCGTGATAGTCACATGACTCGTTCCCAGCAGTAGCTGTCCGAACTTGTCTGAGTTCTTCTTCATGCTTTCATTAGTCAGCAAAATGAATATGGTTCCATTGGTGTTGCTACTTTTCCTTCACTGCTCTGATGGACAGGCTCCTCAGCCTGAACAGATTCACATTTCAGCTACAGGTAGGCAAAGTGAAATCTACTTAGCGTTTAAAATTGAGCTAGACATGGCGCTCGTGTATGTAACTTCTTGTCAGTATTGGTCTGTGAGTTATGTAAGCGAACGTTTGTTACACTAATCAACAAACCACGAAGCTAAGGGTATTGATTGCACCAACAATATCTGCACGTTTGAGGGTAATATCCTCTGCAGTGTCTTGATGGTAGTCTTCAGCATTTTTGGTCATCATATCAATGTCCGTTTCGTATGGTATGGGGTATACGTATTACGGAAATTAACTCTTTCTCGATCTTTTAAAATAAAGAAAAATAAAAAATAAATGAAGGTATTCCATCCTCAGCTATTCCTTAAGTTGTCTGCTTGTCATCTCTTAACCTCCTTATGTAGTCGCTCACCTGTTTCCCTTTGGCTAGGATAAAAGGCCACAGGAGTTTATGAAAATGTGAACTGAATAAAGCGATGTAGTCCTGAAAATTGTCAATTGATGGGGTTTAAGCTTAGAATTCAAAATACATCCTTTTTTTATGAAGCGTTTCGATTTACATCGCCACTACTGACGTCATTTCTTGTATTTGAACCTACAACTACATACCGTTTGTGATATAGTTTGAAACTGAAACCCTTAAACAAGGACCCTGACTATAAAAGGACTTTTGCCCTGGGCAAGCCGTCAGTCATTTCACCCCTGACACCGAACTGTCGACATCAACCATTCCGTGACCGTGCGATATCGGCAAAACTATTGTAACCTTTATTATCTTTCACAAAAATCCTCTTCTCATACCGGTTTTGTATTGTTGTAATAAAGTGGTTAGTTTCTTCGACGTTTTGTCTACGGGATTTCATGTGACACTTATACAAGAACTCCTCTGCAATTAAACAAGAGATCACGTTGGATAGAATTTTTATTTGAATCGCGCGCCATTTCTCCAACGGAATATGTGGTGTTGAAATACGAATCCCGTGGGTGCTCATATAAAATAATTTCGGTCACGGATTGGAAACATGTCTGGTTGACTGAAATCCGATGGAAAACAAATTATCATCGGCTATATTGCCTGAACGGGCCTCAAGAACTATTGAAAACCTCGACCTTTTCATAAGTAGCTAGTGAAATAGGCTTCTCGTTGCAACGCGCGTCTAAAATGTTCAGGCAAAAAATATCCTACATAGTGCCGTGTCAAAATACTTAGAAAACTATGTTCCTTTCAAAGGGACCTATTCTCGAACTTCGCTCTATTTTTTTTTCCTTTTTTGAGGCTTTTTCTCCCCATAACTCAAAACGTGCGATAAAACGTGCCATTGTGTAGGTCAAATACACCAAACAGTTTGTATGACTGGTTTTTTCAAGTCATGTCATGGTTGTAAATTAATGTTCCTGTCATGTGTCAGGAACACTTAGTAGTCTCTTTTGGGTTCCACTGGTTTATTACCACAGTTATAATTTACGCTCAGGCTCACAATCGTATCAGGCCTCTACTGGCAAATGCAAAAGATTTTATGATTTTGTAACTGTCCAATTTCGAAATGTATGTTGCGAGCGCCCCCTGTAATTCGGTTGTTACTGTTATTGGGTTGAATAAATGATTGATTGATTGATAGTTAATGCAGGGTATTTTGGTATAGGTATGTGAAGGGGTGTTTCCCTACAGTCGTTAACAAGTACAGTATTCCCTAGTGTTGGATTTTCACACTGACCCAACTCAACAGTATTTTTAATCCTTGGTCATTTTATATACAGAATATCGTTGTGGAGGATATGATGGTTGGAGTTCACTGTTTGCTTTCAATGCTTTAAAGTCTGGTGAGGACTGGAGTCCAAGGATTGCATTTTATGGAGATATGGGAACTACGAATGCTAAATCTATTAGCTATTTGCAGGAAGATGCTCAAAATGGAAAATATGATGCCATACTTCATGTGGGTGAGTCATAAATGACTAGAGTTATCCCTTTCACTTTCAAGATTTCCACATTTTTTCCAGGACTGCTGTAAGTCTGAAAGTTAAGGAAAATAAGAAATAGGCAGCCAAGTTATTGTGGATGCCATTTTGTTGTGTCAGATTACAAGCAGGACTGGGAATTATTAAGTTCTAATATATGTTTCTGGTGCTCCTCAAGTTTGCATTACCCTTTGTGCAAATTCTGAATGTAGAATCAATTCACTCTTTTCAACCTGTAACTGGTGAATTATGATATTATTGTGGGATTATAATTTATAAAATAGAATTGTAGGTTTTGCAATTTTTAAGTTAAACATGTAAGATTATAAATAACTATAAATTAAAATTGTGAGATTTTTCTCTAGCTCCAAGGCTACATGTATGGTCAAAGAAAAATTGAAGGAAGCCTATTGCTCTGAAATTGTTAAATCCAGGGTGCTCAGCATATCCTTTTAATTATAAAAAAAGACTAAGGTTCCATAGTTGCCCAAGAGCTAAAGTAAGGCACCAGGGGCCATTGGGTTTTGCTAGAGCACAGCCCTTGTTCTTACAGTAAATTGAGGTTAAGGTTTGAATGCTCATTTTGTCAATTGTGTTCTTCCCTAGGTGACTTTGCATATGATCTGTTTGAGGTTAGTCAGCTTCTTCAGTCTACAATGATTCCATCCGTCATTATTACTAATCCATTAGTTTTTTGGTATAGAAAAATGTCTAATGTACTGCCCTAAATCCTTTCATTTAAAGTATAGTGCTGAAAAAATAGGGGCTGGTTTATGCATGGTTTAGATGATTATAATTTATTATAATAATCTTTTTTTAATAAGGGTAGCAGGAAAGATCACAAGATAATCTCTGTGTGACCCTTGTGAAAAACAAATAAAAAGAGAAACAAAGAAATTAAAAAATAAAATTACCACATAGATAATAAAAATGTCCTGCACATATCACTGACTGCAAAGTTATTTTGTAGTGGATACAAAACTAACCTAGCCTAGTAGGTTGGTTTCCTAAGTTTGTTGATAAATGAGCTCATAGATGAGCAGTCCTGTATTTCATTGGGAAGACTGCTCCAAATTCAGAAAATGTAAGTGGAGATGGTTCTTCAGTAGAAAAAAGAGGTACTCTATATGGTATAACAAACACCTCACAGGTAAATTTAGTAAGTGACTGTAAAGTAAGGTAAAGTTTGACACTAGCTGTGGATTGAATGAAGCTGAGTGCATGGGTAACATTTCTCAGCTGTGGTACAAAGTAAATCAAAACTGATCATCTGTATGAATTCAAACATCACAAAGTTCTGTTTTCAGAATTTTGACGCTCAACCAATCAGGTTGTAGGGAGCATCAGTCATCAAGTTGGACCATGTGTGATTTTGTTCTGGCATACTGTTAGGATCTGCAGTGTTAAGTTAAGCATCCCAATTGAGGGACGTTTGTGTTCTTTCTCCAGATTCACACATACTCCCTACTTTTTTTAATGGCTTCTTTGCCAACAGGATGAAGGACGAAATGGAGATGACTTTATGAATGAAATTCAAGAGATTGCTGCCTATGTTCCCTATATGACGTGTCCAGGAAATCACGAACGTTACTAGTAAGTTTTCCATTTGTGTTTCTACAGAGTGTGTTAGTCAGATCAATGGAAAGGTAAATAACTCAACCATCTTTGATGTTTGTCTGCTAGCATTGAAAAATCAGATATATGAGTTTTATTGCAGACCTTTAAACATAGTTCTATTGTGATCTTTTCCCATAGCAACTTTTCCCACTACAAGAACAGGTTCTCAATGCCAGGAAATACCCAAGGGGTTTTTTACAGGTACGAGTTATATTTTGTGCAGCAACATTACAAGCTACCCATTCACTCCCAAAAGCAACTGGTACGTTAGTTCTTCTAACAGCACAAAAAGATTTATTTGAAGAATGGTGACAAGATAAAAGAAAAATGAAATATCAGCTAGAGTGTTTTGTTCTAAATTGACATAAATTTGTAAGAGCCAGAATAGGCCATTTTACTTAGTTGCCAAGTTGCCATTGTACTTAGTTGCCAAGCCTTTGATTTGGGGATTGAAGCTGAAGGTAACCTTGTGGTGATAGAGACCAGTGTTTATTTAGCATGATAACAAAGTGATTCACATTGAAAGGCAACAACATTTGTATCATAACAAGGTCACCCTTAGCCTCACTCCCATTCAAAGGCTCAGCAATCAAGCATGCAAATGTAGAATGGACTGTTACAAGAAACGCAGAGATGACAGAATGGAGAAAGATATATCTGAATCGTGGAAGGGAAGGGTGTATAATTATGCAATTAGCAAAGCAAGGCCACCTAATAACTAGGACTTGATTTCGTGGCTGGAAAGTGCAGTTTATTTTTGGGTTCACTGTGTTTATTATTGATAGCATGCTGAATGTAATCTCTCAAATTTTTATTCCTTCGAAAGAGTAATATGCTATTTGATATAGTCCTGTATGCTAGGATCTGAGCCCAAGTCTAGCCGACTCCAGAGAGTCACTTTGTTCAAATTAGTAAAATCATTAAGCATGTTAGAATTGATATATGTATGGCACTCAGCTACAGCTGTAACACTCCTTGAAAGACAACCAGAGAGCAAACCTTTCTACGAGTTAACTGTCTTGCTAAATTTGCATATATTTTATCTAAGCCTTAGTTGCAATTTTACCACCAACAGAGAATTAAACTTGAATGCACAAATAGATCTAGATCATTATGTTAAATTGGTTGTAAACTGAACCTGTCTCTCTTGTGTTTGACCCAAACTTATTTCTATCTGCTTTTATCACTTAGCTGGAATATCGGTCCAGCACATATCATCAGTTACTCTACAGAAGTCTACTTCTGGTTGCAGTTTGGAATTGAACAGATTGTTCAGCAGTATGATTGGTTGATCAGAGACCTGCAGGTAAAGAAATTTTGATGAACAAACCACTGGTTTGATACAAACTTACTGTGGTTCTTAAAGGCATTGTGGTAACAGTCATTAAGTTAAACATCTAGTAGTTCATATCATAAATTGATTTAAGTAAGATGGTTTTATGCCAGGCCTTAAAGTTTAATTTGTTTTCTTCATTTAATGTTATAGGAAGCAACACTGCCTGAGAACCGCAGTAAACGTCCCTGGATCATCACCATGGCTCACAAACCAATGTACTGCAGCAATGATGATAGTGATGACTGTACTAGAACCAACAGCATAGTAAGATATCTTTGTTTCTTTTTTTCTATCTTTTTTGGGGGTCAAGCATTAAGGGGAAAAATAAAAGTCACCGCAAGCAATCTGCAGAATTACAAATGGCAGATTCTTTGAAATACAGAACATTAGCCATTCTTACATTTACAGGATAAATGAAACAAGTTTAAGGTGGGCACAAAAGGTGAATTGTACGTGAGGAGGAGGAGTGTGGAAAAATAGGGCTAGTACTCACATCATTAACAGCGTGTCCACGAGAAAACCTGGCCTCGGAGTGCATAATATACCGTGGTAGCCTCTTTGCCCCGCCACATGGCAACTGATTATATGCAGTATATGATATGACAGTACACCGCAAGAGATTACATATTGTATTTTAAACTTTGTAGACTAGAAACACAACATGCCAGATGAATGTCAAAGTTGACCGCTGAACAAAATTTCAGGCGCGATCTGATCAAAGATAGCGGATTGTACTCTTGAGCAAGGTTTTTAGGGCATCAAATTATCTTTTTGCCACCAACACGTATCATGTAAGTCGATAGGTATCACGCCGTAAAAGACCAATCATTTTGGTGGATCTTTCCGAGAGCTCTGTCCGCGTTTAATATTTTAACAAGGCAACGAAGCAAATCGAATCTGGTACATTGTTGACATAATGGCTACTTATCTACAAATGATATCGAGCCAAACGTTGCAACTGAGGCACCACAGAGACTTGTAGTACTATCAAGTTTCTTCCTAGATGTCTTTTGTCAGAAAGTTTGACTACATGCGCCCTTGATGTTCAACATCAACTGCTGCGTTTCCTCGGGAATAATCTAAATATGGCTGCAAAAAAAGTTCTCAAAAATGGCTCAACTTGCGCTATTCAAATATTCTCTCCCCATTCATGTTTAACCGATACTCTCTGGGAAATTGCTTGTAAATTTCAAGTTATTTTAAGTTAATAAAACAAAGATGTGGTATACAGAAGTTTGACGATAGAGACTAAAAAGCGGGAGGTAGATGTAAATTTCACGTCAGCACGGGCTATGAAATAAATTGGCCAAAATTTGTATTAGTGATTTTGGAAGTTCAGTGATGGCTTTCACTGCCCGTATAGGAATAATGATCAGAAGTGGTTGCTCATCGCAGAAATTGGGCCTTAAAATAGCCTTATTTTTGGACTTTGTCAAGACCAGAAAAAGTCGTCTTTACTTAAGCGAGAGGTAAGGGAAGAAATTAAATGAAAAAGTTAAAACAATTCAATTTTCTAGAAGTCGGATAGATATAAAATACAAAACAGTTGATTGAATTTGCAGATGGATTCTCAGTTTGTCATAGCAGAAATGCAAAGTTAGCTAATTAATTATGCAAAAATGCAAAAAATGGGGGTTTTCCCAGGAGGACCCTATATCTCCCAGGGAATTAAATATTTTTAACCTATTAGTTTCACACATTTGTTAACTTATGATACTTTAACATTTGTGCCAAGTTTGAGCCAAATCGGTGATTTGAGGCTTATCGCCCCTGCCCGGTTTTCTCGTGGACACGCTCTTAATCTTGTCTATGGGTGATTAGCATGAACAATTGGGTTCACACGTGTCATTTTTTTTTTTTTTTTTTGTGTTCTACCTTTTACATGTGGTGTGCCGTCCATTCCCATCTCAAGCTTGTATCTGCCTGACTAATTGAAAAAAGAAAAACCGTTCTGCCTGTTCTTGGCTACCACTGCATGTTCCTTTTGTCATGGCATGTGCCCAAAGCAAGGGAAATTGTCTGAGAATTGCATGCACTTGACTGTTATTTGTCTCTAGTATAGAAAGAAAAACTCTTGCATGAAGCCAAGAGAACCACACCTTTCTCTCTAAGAAAGATATAAAATATGAGGTGTTGTCTGATTTCATACCATACAAATTCTCAGAGGTAATATTACAGATGATCTTTAGAGATTGTGAGGAGGATGAATTTTGCAATCTTGAGAGCGAAAGAGCCAAGGGGATTGTGTAGATTGAATGCAGCTAGTCCATGGTACTTTTTCCATCAGAAATTCTTCAGGTTTTACAGACAATGTGACCTTAGCCATTTTGGTCTATGAATGGATATGTTGTCAGGCCGCCATGCATATGAGGATTTTGTGTCTTTTTTAATAAGAGTACAAACCTTTTGTAACTTGTGAGTGGTCTTGTTTAACTAGACTAATTCTACCAGTGCACTGGTATGAAGTAAATCATACCATCCAAGTATGGATTAAAAACTTCACCAGAAAAGACTCGATAGATATACAATGTATTTGCTTTTGTAAGTAAAATGAAAATCACCTTTGTTGTAGTTTTAGTACAGCAATTTATTTACTAAGTTTGTGCTGGGTGTGATGCTTCTCTAGATTCGCACAGGATTAACCTCGAAGCATTTGTGGCCTTTGGAAGAGTTGTTTTACAAATATGGTATGAAGATTATTATCATACACTTTGATTTTATACAGTATTTGATTGTACTTGTTCCATGTTTCGGGTGGTTTAGTCAGCTAAACTTCAATGTTTTCGGGATTTAGTTACATGTATGTGAACAGTGTTACGACTTGCTGGCGGTTATAATTTGGGAAAGATTTCCACAGAGCCCCAAACTTTATTATGCATACAGTTCTTGGATAAAGAAAACAATGGAGAAAACAGGAGATTGCCTTTGGGACTGTGGATTTGTTTAAGTATATTTTGGGGTTCTGAAACGGAATCTTTCCAGAATTTGATTGATAACTTCCCACCCCCTTGGTATCCATTTTCCTTCCCAACCCCTTCCCTCCCGGGGGCTTCGTCGCTCAACACTTTAAAAGCCGCACATAACCACTGCTACTGGCTACATTTTTATCTGGCTCAATTCCTGCTTATGTGGCACCGATCCTCATGGCTACCGTTACTTTGGACAATCATGCGAGCCCAGAAAGAAGAGTGTCGAATTCTGGATTAAAAAATAAATTGTTCAAATGGCTACGTGTTTACCTCAAGTACATTTTTCTTCTTTCAAAACGTTTCCCTCTATTGTAGTTGAAAAACCCCTGTCCTCCTAAGTATAGACTACCTCCCCTTAGATGTATGCCCCCTCCTGCTTAAAACCCCGCCCAAAATATAATGATTACAGATAACATTTAAACATCAATGGCTGACCTACTCTTGATCAGTTACAAGTTTGCTGCTGGTATTTCAGGTGTAGATATGATGTTGGAAGCTCATGAGCACTCCTATGAACGACTGTGGCCCATTTACGACATGCAGGTAAGACTCTTCCTGAACCTTTTGGCTTCCCCGTAAACAAACTCCGCAATAAAAACTTTTTAACACCATTTCTTTACCTGTCTCGTTCCAGATTTGCAATGGGTCTTTGGAGGAGCCATACACCAATCCCTGTGCCCCAGTTCATATCGTCACTGGGTCAGCGGTATGTGAAGTCCTGATGCTTTCTGATAAATTCACAAACTATCGTGTTGCAAGAAGTTTGTGTGGATTTTCATTTTTGTGGAATATTAAGATTGTTGTAAAACTGTAATCGGCCGTAAAAGTAGCAAAGAAGTGCAAAGATTGTATCAATGTCACTGTGGCAACTAGAAATATACTGGTAAATTGTAGTTCAACCACAAATGCAAAAAGGCAGCCATTTATTAATGTAGCACAAGCACAGTGTAATGTAGCACAAGCACAGTACAACGTAGCACAAGCACAGTGCAATCCAGCACAAGCACGTGCAATGCAGCACAAGTACAGTGCAATCCAGCACAAGTACAGTGCAATGCAGCACAAGCACAGTGCAATCCAGCACAAGTCCAGTTCAATCCATCACAAGTACAGTGCAATGCAGCACAAGCACAGTGCAATCCAGCACAAGTACAGTGCAATCCAGCACAAGTACATTGCAATGCAGCACAAGCACAGTGCAATGCAGCACAAGTACAGTGCAATGCAGCACATGCACAGTGCAATGCAGCACAAGTACAGTGCAATCCAGCACTAGTACAGTGCAATGCAGCACAAGTACAGTGCAATCCAGCACAAGTACAGTGCAATCCAGCACAAGCACAGTGCAATGCAGCACAAGTACAGTGAAATGCAGCACAAGTACAGTGCAATGCAGCACACGCACAGTGCAATCCAGCACAAGCACAGTGCAATCCAGCACAAGTACAGTGCAATGCAGCACAAGTACAGTGCAATCCAGCGCAAGTACAGTGCAATGCAGCACAAGCACAGTGCAATGCAGCACAAGCACAGTGCAATCCAGCGCAAGTACAGTGCAATCCAGCACAAGTACAGTGCAATCCAGCACAAGCACAGTGCAATCCAGCAGAACTGAGTACAGTGCAATCCAGCGCAAGTACAGTGCAATGCAGCACAAGCACAGTGCAATGCAGCACAAGCACAGTGCAATCCAGCACAAGCACAGTGCAATGCAGCACAAGTACAGTGCGACGCCCTGAAGAGCTTCCGGCCGGTTCCTCTCCTGTTCTTTGTCGAGAGAGACTTAACAATTGGAAGGAGTCGGTTTTTAATGGCAACGAGACACTTCACCAGACAAGACTTTGGGGTAGATGTAAGACTCGTCGGAATAAACGTAGCTCTTCTAGAGATACGAGATGATTGTCATAAAAAGAGACGCGATTTGCTGCACACTGGTGCATATTTCATATAACTTTCTATCTGTAATGTATCGTTACAGTTCATGATCTCTTGAGCGCAACAGATATCTAGCTGTTACCTAAAAGCGCCCAAAGTGGCAAAGTTTTGAAAGATGCTTTTGTGTAAGTAGACTTTTTTTTTTTTTTTTTTTCCAGGGATGTTATTCTAAGCATGACCCTTTCAAGAAAGAGAAACCATACTGGACAGCTTTCCGCACTGAGAATTATGGTTTTTCGCAGATGACAATCTTTAATAAGACGCACATTGGCATACAGCAAGTTGACGTCGATCTGGTAAGTGCATAGAAAGAAGAAACCCGCGGAGTTTCTTCTTTCGGATTTTTTCATATACCGGAGGGGAATCCCTACTACCTTAATGGTACACCAGTCTCGAATTTTCCGTCACCGGTAACACTATGGCGATGATGATGATTTTTGCTAGAGCTTAATTATCTCCTTACTTTGCGATTACCAATAGTCCTTTTTACAGTTGTGTGCTTGGTTGCCAAGCCTTTGAACAGGAGTGAGGCTAGAGATGACCTTGTTATGATACAAACCTTGCTGCCTTTCAAATGTAAATCACTTTGTTATCATGCTAACTAGATACAGGTCTCTATCACAACAAGGTCATCTTTAGCCTCACTCTGAATCAAAGGCTTGGCAACTAAGTACACAACTGTAAAATGGCCTATTATAAAGAAATAAGTGTATCACTAGTCACGAGCGTGGGGCAAAGAAGTTTCGTGCTCTCTGGCATGGAATCGAAACAGTTCCTTTTTGAGGTTCAATGCTTTACCAGCTGAAGTAGGAAAGAGGTTTTTCCCTTTCTCCGTTTTCTACGAGGCATTTATCGACATTTTTGTCCTGGGATTATCACAGTAAATTCTGCTGTAGAGATGGGGATGAAAGTTTTTAAATCTCAAACGTCGAACTAGCTTTGGCATTACTTTTTGTATTTACTTTGATCAGGGAGGAAAAGTTGTCGACGAAATAATGCTGATAAAGGATGTCCATGGACCAGAAGCATGGGTTAGGAAGGACGTGAAGAATTGAAATCTAAGGAAAACAGCGATTTTACATTAATCCCATGTCCGAATCTTGCACCTTATGCAGGAATGATTTTTTTTTCTCATTTGTATGAATGTACTTGTGACTTTAGTTTTGAAAAGAAAAAAACGATTTTTAAGTTAGTACGAGAATCTGTAAGTAGGGGTGTTCAATAAAAAAGGATGGTTACAGTTGATTTTAAGCAGCTGGCCATAGAAGAGCCAGTTAAAGGTTGAAATTGTAATTGTTGTGGTTGAGTTTTCAGACTGGTACCTTTATGCTTAGGAAGCAAACGAGGCCTACCTTGGACATAAATTGTGATAATCATTTATTGTACTTAATGTATTGTAAATCATGTAGCATAGTTCTGTCAGCATTTAACGTCAGTATAGTTTTTTTACTTTCGACTAAATTTTGTAACTTTGGATACTAGTGATCAACATGACTTTGACGCGATAAAAATTACAAAAAAAAAATGAAATCGCGAATTTCTAAATTTCTTTGGATGAATTGTCTACTCACTGTCCACCACAGTCTAAATTTTTGCGTTTATCATAGTGCATAGGCAGAAAACTGTAATTTACCTTATCGAGGCAGGGTGTAAAGCTAATAGAGTTCACTTCATTACCTTAGAGATTGTGATTTTGTGCATCAACAAAAAAAATTAACATTTTAAGTTTATGTGTGAAATATAAAGTTGGCTTTTAAAAGGAGTTGTGAAGTCTACATTTCTTGGTGTTACGAAACATCCATGTGAATAAAACGGTTGAAATTGTACGACATGATGAACAATTTGTGAAGAACTAGACTACAAGCAGTCCCTCTTTTTCGACGAATTCCGTTGTGAAAGTCACGCACACGCACACAAAATTCAGCGAAGAAAAAAGTTTGAAAGTAGCACATGATCACTCCCAGAGTTCCACGTGGCAAACAAACATGTTTTTCCGCTCACTTTTTTTGACTGGCGCGAAGTACTTCGCTGAAGGGACTGCTCCTAGTCTAATGGTGAACATGTGCCTCACATTTTTGGGATATAGCTTTTTTGGGAAGTCAAAGATAAATTTCTCAGTTTTAAGAGCAAAACTTCTTTTCAGGATAGGAACGTTTGAGAAGCGGGCCCCTTATTTTTCCTTTTCAGTGGTTTGTTATTTATTTAAGCTTTAATATTCTGTGTAACAACAAAGAGCACCTTTTTGTTGATTACCGAAACAGCACTCATAAAACGAACGAAATACCTTACTTGTTTTTAGTTGCCATTTTTTCTAGATAGCCAGTTTGAGCGTTCTCTAAAACAATCCCAGACGTGCCTACGCAACGACCTACGTTCTGTAGGTATTGCTGTATTCCAAAGTAAGCTGTTGGTTGGAAAGAGAAAATCCTCTCATCTTGCTTATGATTTGTATCCAAAAAAAAAACGGAACATGTACATTAACCCTCAAACTTAAAATTAAGTATTTTTATTTGTCTTAAAAACACTTAAGCAACTTTTATAAGAATTCAAGCAGTTTTGAAGCAACTTCGAGCGTGATTTCGGGGAACTTTTAATTATGGGCTTTAAGCTTTGAAAGCCCGACTTCTCAGTTGCCTCCACCCATATCCCATAACTTCTGTGCACAAGCATTATAAGGTATTTCCTGTATTATTATCCTCTCTGTGGTGGCTTACGGCAATAGTCCTTTTACAGTTGTGGGCTTGGTGGCCAAGCCTTTGAACAGGAGTGAGGCTAAAGGTGACCCTGTTGTGATAGAGACCTGTATCTACTTAGCATGATGACAAAGAAATTTGCATTTGAAAAGGAGCAACATCTCTATCATAACAAGGTCACCCTTTGCCTCACTCCTGTTCAAAGGCTTGGCCACCAAGCCCACAACTGTGAAAAAGGACTATTTTAAAGGTATGAAGAGATAGAAATGTTTGAAGAACACGAAGATTTTTTTGATTCATTTAAATTAGCACGGTGACCCGTGCTTTTACGTATCATTCAGCTAATGAAACACGCTTGTTGAAAATGTTAAGTCGAGAAAATGCAAGCTAACAACTGGGCCCGGTTGTTCAAAACTGGGTTAAGATAGCCCAGGATTAGCGTGAAATTTTATTTCAGATCTGAAAGCTTTAAGAGAAAGTTCAGTTTAATTATTTTTTGTCTACAATTTGATGATTGGATGCTCTAAAAAGAACGGGGAAAATTATTTCAGAAAAGTTCTTGAATAGAGAAATAAGGAAACCTGAGTCAAAATTTAACCCTGGGTTAGTGCTAATCGGCCTTCGAACAACTGGACCCTGATGTTTATCGCTCATTCGGATCATCTCTGTATATTCGAGCTCATATAAAAGTGCATATATATATATATATATATATATGCAGTCAGTTATATATATATATATATTGTGGGAGGAAAAGGACAAGTAAACTACAAGTTCATCCCTTCAAGCCTGTTTCGTGGTCGCCCACTCATCAGGGGATTATATATATATATATATATATATATAACAATATATATATCTATATAACAAATGAACTGAATAATATAAAAAGTAATCTAAAACTAAAAGAATTCTTTTTAACCTATTAAAAATGTCTTTTTTTTGATCCCTCATATGTTCTCAAGAAATTTTCAAAACCGTTAATAGCCGGCGATAGGAGAGGCTAACGTAATGTGTTGGAAACACCAGGTCAGGTGAAATCCTCAAAATTGCTCACTCTTCACTTTCAAGGATCAGACAGGACTTTTCTGGGAAGCTGAAACAAATGGGTCCTTAATTATTTCATGGGCATTATCCAGGCACCCGGTCCATGGCGATGTTTAACAATCCACACATGATCAATGATCTCCCCTCCCTAATAAGAAATTAAAGAAAAAAAATAGGTTCAGGTCAAATTATTTCAAGAATGTTACGTTATCCTTCCGCTGTGGACACAGTTTACAAGTTGGATCACTTTAGGCGGAGAATATAGAACAAAACATTAGTCTCGTGCCCAGAACTTTCACGGCCAAGCGATTGTACATTTCAGTTACTGTTACACGGTAGGATCTGGGTACGAAACATAGTTTCGCTCCTCCTTTTATGTTAATAAAGGGTAAGAGACCAGTCATTATGTATCGTGTAAGAGGGGGGAGGGAGGGTGGGGAACTGCAGGAAGAGCAGCGAAGCTTATCATCAACAATTCAAACAAGGAAGGCAGCAGTTCTGTGCAACATATCATGCACGTCGACCCCTGACAGAGAAATTAAATAGAACAAACACAAGCTCACCTTATCAGCACTAACTTGCTCCATATACAGATGCGTGTTGTTGTGAATTTTCATTCTAGTGTAACCGTAATCCAAGGCACGAAATGCTGTCCAGGGACCATACTTGGGCTTGAAAGCATCATGGTGTTCCTTGCATCCCTGAGGATGGAACCGATTTGTGACTTTGAATTTAGATTGCGTGTTCATTGAGACGCTAGTGACTTCTTGCCTGATGTTTAGATTTACTCTCTACTTTTAGGATGATTTAATAACAATGGATAGGTGAGGTCTATATCGGAATTATCATGCTGACAATTATGGTCNGTGGGGTGGAGTGGGTTGGGGAAATTACAAGAATACTACAGAGCTTTATGGGATCATCGGGTAATTGAGATGGAAATGAGAACATTGTTTATCATCTGTAAGGATGGTAACTTTCATCATTTCACCGTTATGATATAGAATTTGATGTAGAGGAGAACAAATAAAACGCACTTTCATTTTTCATTGTAATTAGCATTAATTCTTGCAAGTGCCATACCGCTGATCCTGTGATAATGTGAACAGGGGCGCATGGGTTGATGTATGCTTTTTCCACAGGACCTCGACAAAGCTACAACGAAAGATATTTATTGATTTAGAAAAAAATTGCATAAATTAAAACATTGCTTAGATGAAGATCATTTGATTTTCGTTCTGGGCGGAATTCGAAGTGATGCGAGCAAGTGCTGCCGCAAGTAGGCCTAGCCACAAATTGCCGATGAATCCCAAAAAATTTGCCGATAAAAGTGTCTAAAAGTTTCCAAAAAGTTGCTATTTTTTTCAAAAAGTTGCCGAAACGTTGCCAAAATTTTTCTGCTTTTCGTACCTTTTTTGGGCGTTAAAGATTAAAAATTCGCACATTGCTTCTTATCAAAACTTTATTTGTCAAAGTCCAATGATAATATCAGAGGTTCTTTCCATTTCACTTGATCAACAAATAGTCTATCAGAATGACAAGATTCATCTGAGTTGGATGTATTGGAATCACTGTAATTGTTCGCCATCTTGAAAAACGTGCAACGTGATACCGCTGACCTCGTGATAAGGCATCACAAAGATCAACCTATGAGGGGGAAGGGCCCTAATTATTGTATTTTAGAATAAATTGAATAAATGTCTATCGAAAACTGACCAATGTGGCTCAAAACGTGAAGAAAGTGGCTTCAAAGAACCTCAAAAAGCCCAAAGTTGCCGAAAATTCTAAAAGTTACCAAAATTCTAAAAAATTGCCGAAAATCTCAAAAGTTGCCGAAAAGTTGCCGAGCTACATGTGGCTAAGCTTAGCCGCAAGTAAATATTGAACAATTATTCATAAAAATGAAGGTGAATTATTATTTTAGTATGTACACATGTGCCGAAAGCTTAGTTTTTTCGTTTCAATATACCGAAAAAATGGTTAGAAATTAAACTCTTGACGCGCGGTTTTGTCTCATCGGCCGTTCGGAGGTGAATAATACTTGTTATTCACCTCCGAACTAGCCAATCAGGGCGCGCCAAAAGCACTTTTCACCTGCGCGGTATATACAAATTTAATTATTCCATTTGTTTGTTGAGCAAGGCATCACAGAAGACTCTTAAATTAGGTTAAATAAGATAATTTACACTCTCCCCTGCGACTCGTTTGCCCCCGGTTTGTTCGAACCACAATTTATATCATCTGTAATATAATCTGAACAGACAAACAGCGAAATGGATGCTCACCTTACGGTTATAAACCGGGTAAAGTCTTTCGTAAGAATGTTCATGAGCCCACACCATTAGATCAACACCTGTAAATGCACGAGATAATGGGTGTGTTTCCACAAAACGAACAAGTATTCCAAGAGGTAATATTTAGTATACCTACCATACATGTAGAAAAGATCTTCCAGTCCATATTTTGAATTAAGACCAGTACGAACCTAACGAACAATACAACACTGTAATTCAGTATGGATAGAAAAATATGATTCCCTATTTCTACAGATGTTAATAACTATTTCGTTTATTGTCATGTTTCTTCCAAAATTACAATCGAACTACTGCAGCAATCAAAGAATTCACTATCTATACAAATGTTGAAATCTATTTTATCTGTGTTGATGTTTCTGCCAGACTTGTAATCGAACTATTTCAATTGTTAAAGACCACCTTTCTAAATTGTTGAAACCCGGCCCTCAGCGTTTTTCTCAATGTCTCTGCATGCGAAGCGAGAGGTTGTTCGAATTTCTTTTACAGACGCTTGAAAAGTGAAAAATTTTCTCCAATGAACTTAATGCTCGGGGCGCAGTCATTCGAAGGCGGATTAGCGCTAACCCAGGGTTAAATTTTAATCCAAGTTTCTATATTCCTCTGTTAAAAAGCCATTTTGGGATAATTTTCCCAATTCTTTTCAGAGCATTCAATAATCAAATTGTAGACGAATGGAATTAAACTGAATTTTCTTTAAAAGCTTTCAGATCTGAAATAAAATTTTACACTAACCTTGGTTTATCTTAACCCACCTGTGAAGAACGTTTCCCAGCGTAGCATAAAAGCTGCCGAATTGCGCACATTATATGTAACAGTTTTTGCAATTTTACTTTATTTTGCGTAAAGTACAGGTAGCTTACACACAACCAAAACAAAATCTCCGAGTTCAGCGGGGCAAGGGGCACCGGCGTACCTATTGGTATTCAAAAAATCTCCTCCTGGTGTTAAATCGATTCTCTGAAGAATTAGCCCTTTTACAGGTGTGTACTTAGTTGCCAAGCCTTTGATTCAGAGTGAGGCTGAAGGTGACCTTGTTGTGATAGAGACCTGTATCTAGTTAGCATGATAACAAAGTGATTTACATTTGAAAGGCAGCAAGGTTTGTATCCTAACAAGGTCAACCCTAGCCTCACTCCCTTTCAAAGGCTTGGCAACCAAGCACACAACTGTAAAACGGACTATTCATCACTTAACCCTTTAACGCCTGAGAGGGATTGGTATCTAGTTTCTCCCTACAGTACCACCCCTGACTTAGACATTCAGGCCATGAGAATAACCAGTCAAGAGAAGGCAGAGTGGC